TTGGGGCCTCCGATCCCCATTTGATTTTATTTTAGATATAGGGTCTCCATTCCCTAATCCCTTTTTCTCTGGGATACACAATCCTGATTTTATTGCTTTCAATAGAGAAATAATTTAGATTTTGTTGCAATAACTCACAAAATTTTCCTAGTGAAAACTGGGGCAGAAAAATTTCGTTCGTTTGTTTGTTTTGGTGCCTAAGCAGGTTTTTACCTTGAGGGACAAGTTTCGAGGCGACCAAAAGAAGAAGTCTATTTTCAAATAAAAGAAAAGAAAAACAAGAAAAAAGAAGTGAGTTCTAAAGTGCAGAAGCGGAGAAAAGATGCAGACTGCTCAAGATAGGAATGAAGTCACAAGCTTCGCATGTCCTGCCTTGATCCAAAAGCTGAAGAATGAACCAGCGATTGCAGCTAACGAGCATCAATATTCAGATCGGAGTCTAACAGCAAGAACCAGCTAAGACTCAAGATCAAGCTTCAAGAGACTTATAGATGGGAATCTTGTAACTCATAGTTGATAGGCTTAGCTAGTTTAGCTTTTTATTTTCCATTTTTTGTGTGTAATAAGGAGCTCAGCAAGCAGAAACAACAGTAATAGCAGTGAAACCACAGTTTTCCGGTAATCCCAGCTACCAAAACTTTCAGAACTACACCGACCTGATTCCTTTATAGCCAAGGATATGTAGGCAACCTCCGAAGCAAGGTTCAGTCAAACGTTTTCAAAATGCTTCCAAATGGAGTTTCAAACGGGTAAAAATTATTTGTAGTTGCTCACTTTATCTTTGCCCGAAAACTCTTCATGTTTTCGAGCAAAGAGGGGCAGTTGTGAGCAGCTTATTTTTGACCATGTTTGAATTTATTCCTACTTTTCTCTACTCACTACCCACTTTCCCCACTTTCTCCACTCACTACTCACTTTCCCCATTTCCCCCACTCATGTTCCCCACTCTCCCCACTTTTCTTACTTTCTCCACTCACTACCTACTTTCCTCATTTTCTCCACTCATGTTCCCCACCCTCCCCAAAAAATATTTCCTCCACCCACTCTTCATCATTCTCTCTACCTATAACACACACATCAAGACCTCGCCTTAGAAAAATTTATAGATAGAAAAGGGCGCATTTTACAAGAGAGCTCTCTTCTTCTTCTTGGATTTTTTCTCCAAGCAACAGACAAATACAACAGATCTCACCCTTTCTTCCCAAGAAAAAATGGCCGCACACACTCATTTTACCACGGAAGCTTCTCTAAAAATGCACACCTGAATTCACACCCAACATTTGAGAGACTCACTTTGAAAGTTCTTCACACTCAAAAGAGCTAAAAGCAAAGGATTCAAAATTCAAAATTTTCAGCTGGATTCGGGTAAAGGTTTGTTGCTCTGTTGCTACTGTTGAAATTGCTTCTTGAGCTCCTCATGTGATTTGGATTCTGCTTTTCTTTGGCTTATCTCTTGGTGTCCGCTTAACTATGTTAGGTCAATCCCAAATCCTTTGTATTATGTTTTGCTGAATGGCTATATAAAGTTATTGAATTCCTTTTAGATTTTTGGATTTGCTCAAAGATACAATTTCTGCTATTCTAGTGTGTCATGGATGAATGTTTGGTTTCCATTTGAATAAAGTAGTGTAATGAATCGAAAATGTTAAACTTTAGATTAAATGTTGACGAAGTAAATGCTGTAAAGATTTTGGAATCTGTTATTTGCTTTGTGAGTCTTTACTCATTTTCTTTAATTTCCACTTCTTGTCATCGAGGAAGAGAGTAAAATCCAAGCAAATTTGCTCTTAAATCGAGGATCTGATGGCCAGCAATGGTTATCTTTTAATAGCAAACAAGTCGTAAATTATATTCTATACTCCACTTTCAGAAATAAGATAAGCGGCATCATGAGGTATATAGTTTTTTTAGTAGCAAAAATATAAAGATATATAGTATCACATGTTTCAACTCGTAGACATAATGATTCCTCAATAGTTTGTTAATGAGTTGTTTGTGCACTCCAGCTTTTACAACCACAATCTACTTTATTTATTTGATTAGTTTAACGTCAAAATTTGCCCCCTATCCCCTCTGCCTCATGTTTTTTTGTTCTTGGACTTTTTGCCTCCTGATTTATCCAATCCTTTTTTTTACTAGTCTATGTATTTTCATGACTTGTACATTAAGTTACATAAGTCGAGCAAATTTAAATATATATCTTTCTTTTTTTACAAAAACTTTTGAAGTATGTATATGTTCGTGTATGTATAAAAGAGATAGAAAACGCAAGCTAAAAAAATAGAAATTGGCTTGAACTTTCGTAGTTTACTTTAGGTGCGTTAATTGAATAATTGTCATAGCTACGGGTACGGTTCCTGTAACGTAGTTTGTGACAACTAGTTACTAAAATCCGGGGGTACAGTTATGTGACCCGGCCACAATTTAATCTTTAAAAAAAAATTAAACATGTTATCGATCGTGAGTACGGTTCTCGTGACATGATTCGCAATATGTAACAATAATTAAATAAAAGCGGTTATAAGGTAAAAATGCACAATAGTTTAAAACATGTATTAAAATCAGATAGTATGCCAGTTATAATAGTTTAAGCGACCGTGCTAGAACCACGGAATCCGGGGATGCCTAACACCTTACCCCGGGTTAACAGAGTTCCTTATTCAGAATTTCTGATTCGCAGACTTCAAAAAGGAAAGTCAAAATTTTTCTCGATTTGGGATTTAAAATAAATCGGTGACTTGGGACACCAAATAAACTATCCCAAGTGGCGACTCTGAACAAAAATGAATAAATTAATCTCATTTCGAATAATGTCACTTTAATTGGAAAAACTCCCTTGTACTACCTCGGGTGTGTAAAAAGGAGGTGTGACATACTCCAACATGAATATAAAATTACATAAATATTTGCACCAACTCAATAAATACATTACATATACTTTTATAAATATGATTATCATTAAATCATAGATAATTAACATGCATTCTCACACCTTAAATTATCACTAACATGGTAAATTATATAATTTGATATAAACAACCGGTGAGAGTAAGTTAACACTTATAATGCAATCAAATATATTTGAAAACACTATGAAAGTAGCCTCTAGAATAATTTATACTCTATAAATTTTTTATTTTTTTTTGGTAATTTTCCAATTTTAATCCTCTGGAACATTAATCTTGCAAGACTTTTAGAAACGGAAGGATGGATGTAAATGAACATTAGTCTGACTTTTAGTGTATAATATTGAGGTCATATACGTAACCTGCATTTTCTTCTCTTTCATTTTCAAAACTACTGCAATTAAAACATATGCAGAAGAAAGAAAAGTAAAAGCCATTTCTTTTGTTGTCTTTTTGTGATAGAGCAAAAGGATTAGTCTTTATGACTTTTTTTAAACGGTTATTGTCTAAAGTTAAAAGCAGAAAAGTCAGAGTTTCTTATCTTTTTGCTTACACAATTATTGGAAAACAAATATAGAAAATATCAAAGGAATATAAGAAAGTAGGTGGGAATAATTAACCTGCGTAAATTGTTTAGTCTAACACTCATCATAAGAAAATGACATTTCCAATGATAAAAAAATCCCATTCCTCTTAATTAATTTTCTTTATTTGATTGTTCACTGTTAGGTGCACCCATGATCAAGTATTAACTCCATTTCATGGAAATAATCTGTGATTTCCGTGAGGTGTTGGGAGTTTATTTTAACATAAAAGATTAGACAATTTCCAAATTTTATGGTCTTTATTGATATTATAAAATAAGATTTCTCTTTTCCATGTCAAATAGTAGAAGAAAAGAAAAGACCTTATTATGGATAAACACACCTAAAAATTATTCATTTGGGGTCCTCACTTAGCAATTTTTAGTGTGACAAGAGAAAGCATCTAATTACTATATATAATATCAAATCACTTCTTTCGTTACATTGTATCTATCTTTTTCAGTGTGGTAAGGTGATTCATTATTCCTAGTTTTGTTGCAAGGTGATTCTTAATTGTCCATAAAATGATACAGTTAAATTTATATGTTGTTTATAGATAAATGAATCGATTTAATCCTAAAATGATAAATGAATTAAATAAAAGTGTAAGGCTTAGCGTCAGAATCGAGATAAGGCGATAGAGATCTTGAGCACAGGAAAGAGCTTCCGGAGGCAATAAGAATAGTATAAATAAGTAAGAAAGTAAAATATTATTTAGCTTTGAACAAAATCTAGTGTATGCTTGTCAAAAATTCGTGTCCCTTACAATGATGATAGCGCTTACTATTTATAGCTGCACCTAGGGAGCAAGGTCCTAGGATCAAGTCCCTCTTAAGTGACAATTATAAGGGCCATTGAAGAATGTGTAATGGTAGGTAGTGAATGTCATATTCTCGATAACAGACCATGCAATTAATGTTATAGAATATTCTTCATTAAATATTACCGGGTGACAGACATTTATTTCGCTTTTATGAATGTCATTCTCTCCGATAACAAACGAGATCGTTAACTTCGGACCCGACTATCTTCTGTCTTCGGCCCTATATGTCACTTTCTCATGTAATCATTAAATATAAACATATTTTACCTTATACAGTGATAATCTCCTCCTAATTATGGTTAAAATCATATAGGAAAACTTACCATTTTTAACGAGAAGGAAAAAAAAAACAATGAACCTTAATTGTTTCACGTTTAACCCGTTACATTAATTACTCCTTTATAACTTAACTATCAAAGTTCAACGTAGTTCATATTAAACCACACAAAAAAAAAGTTCAGTTAAATGTACTTATTTTTTAACTAAAGTCTCTTCCGTGTGTTATCGAGTTGACAAAAGGGACCGTTTCACGTTTTGTCCATTAACATTTTCCATATAAACAATTTCTATTACTATTAGTATAAAGTTAATAAAGTAAACTAATATGGAAATCATACAATATGAAATATAAAAATATCTTACGTACGCAAATATTTTTTCAACCATATTAATTACAACTTTAAACAAGATTCATTCAAACCATAAAAACAAACTCTGTCTTTCTCCTTCATCAATTATCCTCTCTCTCTCTTTCTCTCACTTTTTTCTCTCTCTATGGGGAAGAAAATAACAACACTAAGAGATCTCATAGGCGCCATTAAAGACAAAGCTTCACAATCCAAAGCTGCTTTCATCTCTAAACCAAGTAATCTCTCTCTCCACCTCGCCGTCCTACGCGCCACCAGTCACACACCATCAACGCCGCCTGACGACCACCATGTCTCCGCCCTCTTATCCCTCGGTGATAGCTCACGCGCCACCGCTTCTTCCCTTATCGTCATCATCATGGACCGTATCCACCGTACCGGAGATTCCACCGTCGCCCTAAAATGCCTCCTTATCATCCACCATATAATTAAACGTGGACCGTTTATTTTACAAGACCAGCTCTCTGTTTTCCCGGCCACCGGCGGACATAATTACTTAAAACTCTCCGCTTTCCGCGACGGCGCCACCTCTGCCACGTGGGCAATCTCTGCATGGATCAGATTTTACGCAAGATATATTGAAACCCTACTTTTTACCTCAAGAATCTTAGGTTATTTTCTTTCTTATTTTTCATGCAGTTCCGAAAAAGATAAACAAGAAGAAAAAATCTCATCTTTTTTGAACTCAGATTTAATCAGGGACGTTGATTCTTTGGTTCAGTTGATTGAAGAAACATGCAAAGTACCTGATTCCCTCCTTTTAGAAGGTAACAAATTGTTGTACGAGGTCATTGGATTATTGGGTAATGATTATTTATCGACCGTTAATGAACTTTTATTAAGACTCAGTGAGTTTAAGGAAAGACTGAGTTGTCTGAGTTTCGGTGAATCGGTCGAGTTGGGTTGTATTTTGAAGAGATTAGAAGAATGTAAAGAGAGATTATGTGTTATTTTTACAGTGAAAAAACCTTCAACAGAGTTATTATGGAGTTTGGTTAATGATTTAAGTGAGAAAATTGAGAATTTGAAGGTTGGAAAAGAAGGTCCGAAGTTGCTAACGTTTGGAATATCAAGTGAGTCGGCTCGGTTCGGTAACCGAGTTATGAAATTTGGTGACTCGGTCCGGTTTTCTTCAGGAAGGTATGAGATGAATAATCTTTCTCTTATGATTGTGCAAGGAAAGAAATTGGGAAAAGTTCAATAAATTGGAGAATATTTTTTGGTGGGGAACAAAGAAAATTTAAAGCAAAATTTTTGGAAATTATTGAAAGGGAAAAGTGCACTCTTGCCTTTTATAATTTTCAAAATTTTACTGATCAAGTTGGGATTTTTCATTATAGGAAAATATATATTTTGGAGTCCCTTTTATTTGCTCTTTTTGGTTCAGAGTGAATTTTTGTTAATATGGTAGAGTTTAATTTGTGGCAGTAATAGCATATTTTGTAACAATATATCAGAACTGCCAGATCTTTTTTGTTGTTGGATTTGATAAATATATTCCCACCAACATTTTTGTACATATATAATACTTGAATCTATTAATTGTGAAGAAATATTCTTCAAGCATGATATAAAATTATAAATATTCTCGGGATATTTGTTAGTGCTTTGTATTATTAGGTCAAAAGTTGTGTACATGTTAAGTTGGAGTCTGTAGGTCCAATTTAATCCATTTTTTTGAGTTGAATTATCTTTATGCTATGAAAAAAGTAAAAAAAGTAAATACATAATAACACTCATTATGAATTCTCTGTTCAATTATGAATTTGCCTGTGCTTATGTGCATGAAGAAATGATGAACAAATGGACCGTTGTAATGCCACTTTATAAAGAGAATGTTGAGGTTTTGTCAGAATATTGTATTATTATTTCCTGGGAAGTGTTTCTTCTCTTGGAACAACATATATGGTCTTCTTTCTCTAGATGATTTTTACCGTTGAAGAACTTTGTCTCGCAATACTAGTTCAGACTTCATGCTTCTTTTTTAGTATATAATCGTGGTGTCCGAGCTAGCTCGTGGATATCTCAACTAATTTCACTTGCTGCCTCATGCAAGTATAGTGAAAGGTTTTGAATTCCCTTGACTACTAAACTACACTTTTGGATTGTGTTAAGGGATTCAAAACTTAATATATAGAGGTAAAAAACAGATTTTGCCTTATATATACAGTTTAATTTTTTGGCGAAGGGGTACCCCTTCCGTCCCCCTAAATCTGCCCCTGAGTATAGATATGTGGTAATTTTGTCCAGATGCGGATCTAGCATTTCTAGAACATGAGTGCACCACTAAAAAAATGAGAGGAAAAAAAGGTATTACGTGAGAATTAATTGTTGTTCCTCAAGGTAAATAATTGAGTATTCAACCAAATCATTTAGCCTTTTTGGAGCATGGGTCACCGCATAATCTTAGACAATTCTAGAAAATATGTATAAAAAAATACATAGTTTGGCCGGAAGATCATGGCTCATATTTCCCATATGTTTAGCAGTAAATGCGTTTTTTACTCTATCCACCAATGCTTAGATAGACGACAAGAAATCACCTAATATTTTTGCCTTCGTTGGAATTTAAATAAGATATCTAGTGATTCTCAATTTACTTCATTAACCACTAGGTCACATACTTAATTTTGGTATTATTGGCATATTGTATAAAAATGATTGATTGTTTTCGAATTTTGTGCTTCAAAGTTCAAACTTCTACAATTTCGGTTTAAAAAAATCTTGACAGTTCTCCGCACATTTTCTTTACTTTATGTAGGAGATGATAAGGGAACTCACTTCAATTTGTAATTAATATTTCTTATAAAGTCAAATGAACTAGACTTGATGCCTGCAGTGAGGCAGGTAAAATTTTATTTAGCTTAGCTTATTTACAATGTGTTTTGCCAATAAGATTTTGATTTATGTTTTTTTCTTTATCAATACAGGTGGTTAAGGATCATTGAATTTAATCTATCTCACTCTTATCATCCCAACCACGTAATCATGGTGTATTATGTTTTGATATATTAAAAATGGAAAAAATAAAATTATATTTTATACCTAATTAAGGCAGAGATATTACTAGATAGTTTAAAAAAATAAATGATATAGTAGGTTGAAGATTTAAAAGAAAAAATAGTACAAAAAGCTTAAAGAAAAATGATACCGCATATAGCCGCTATAAAAATAATAGCCGAGAAACATATAAAATTTATATATTTTTTGTATAATATATTTTGTATGTTATATATAAAAATTATACAAGTTTTATATACTTTTTCGGCAACTAAATGTAAATAGTTTTGCCGCAAATTAAAATTAATAATACCCCAAACTTAATTGTGATATAATTCCTATTAATTTTTCTCCCTTCGCGGTCACCAAATTAAAAGTATGAAAATTCTTTTTTTAAAAAATATCTCGTACAGTGGAATACGAGAAGGCTCGACTGAGTCAACCAAAATGAGAGTATAAAATTGTGAAAGAGGAAGTTTCATTTCTCACGACTACACATTTGTTATTTAATATTAGACAATATTACTTCTGATTAGATTTAAAAACCTAGTGGGGTGCAGTTGTCCATGGTAGTACATAATTTATACTAGTTGTCCCCTGTATTTGTTTCATTTTAAATAACTATAGGATGTATTATATCGTCTGTAAAGTAATCATTATGTAAATATATTTTTTGGATAATTACATGAACACAACTTATATACTTTTCCAAAATAAATAATGTCATCGATGGTTTGATGTACTAGATTCCCGGTACAACTACAATTAGTATAGTTAATAAATTACACCGACTCTTGTTTATTTATATGCATGTTGCATTTGTCTTCTAATATAACAAAGGAAAACGAATTTAAAGGGAAGGGGGG